CGAGCCATTTATTTTTCTACTTTTTTTTTTTTCTTTTGTGTTCAAATTAGATACACCCAAATGTTAAATCAACAGTAACTTTTCACAATTAATCAGACCCAATTAATCCTGCAAAAAACAATAAAAGAAAAAAAAACCACGGTGAAACAGCATAACATTAAGAGCAGATGAAATGATAGAATGAGGTAAAGTTTATTGACCTTCCTTCATTATCCAGAAATTAGCGAGCTTCCCAAAATCATTCATTTATGAGATGCTCGTCAATTTTTCACCTCAAAGATGAATGTTTGAATATTTATGTATATTAATTAAAGCTAGCCCAAAAATGGGACTGAGCACATTAATTCAAAGCCTGAAAGTGAAAAAGAAGAGCACATGCAGAGTTTGAAGGGAAAAAATTACACAAAGCAAAAACGCAAAGCAATCAATCAGATGGCGCAGAGAAAGAAAGAAGAGAGGCAGAGTTGGGTGCGGGTTTTATATCACAGCATTACAAAATAGAAAGCGGAAAAAAAGGGGAAAAAGGTGTGAGACTGACCGTATAGATGATATATAATATTTACAAGTAACCATGGTTCAATTTATAATAAGGTGGTAAAGAGTGAGAAATTAGTGAGAGAAAGGGAAAGCATGTGAACTGTGGAGGAATTTGATGGGACAAAGAAGGCGGTTCAATCTGCCATTCGACGTAACACCAAATTAAACCGCGAGTTTTTATATTTGTATAGATTAGTATTTTTTTTATATTTGTATAATTAATTGATTATACTTATTTTTAGAATTTCACAAATCAAATCATATGGATACTGATATAGCACATAAAGATAGCTCGATTGAACCGACTACGGTCAGCTCCGCCTGTAGACCAAAGACTAGCTAGGTTGGTTGGTCTAGGAGTATGGAGGCTCAGATAGCTCGGATAGCTAGGGCACGTCTCTAGCTCGGACCCTAGGGAGCTCGGACAACTTATGTATATCTGTAGCTCGAATATTGAGGAGCTCGGACAACTTAGGTATGTCTGTAGCTCGGATATTGAGGAGTTCGGACAAGAGAGGTGTACCAACAGCTCGGACATATGATAGCTCGCTCATGATAACATGGTAATTAGCTCGAATAGGAAGTGGATCGACTAACATAGTAGGTCGAATCCAAGTTGTTAATAAAGGACAAGTGTAAGGTCACAAATAAAAGAGATAGGTGATCTGACGGGCAGCCCTTTTTTGCAGTTGGGACATTTAGGCAGGCCTTCGGGTAGTCGGTCAGAACGGAGACTTGTTGAGGAAGCCAATAATCTTCTATAAATAGGTGAAATTTGGAGAAGGTAAGGGTCAAGCACACTTTATACTCTAAGCTTTCAGTATATTTTCATACAACTTTTCATATCACTTTACTGACTTGAGTCGAAGGTTTAATGCCGGAAACATCTCCAGGCGTCTTTGCAAGTCTCCGAGGAGCAAATCAGTCCAAGGACTGTGGAGAGCTGGTTCGAGGTGAAACTTCACATCAATTGGCGCCGTCTATGGTGTTGTTTATTGTTTCTCTACCTGTAGCAGATGAACTTAAGATGGAAAAGACGATAATGGCAAATGAGGGGTTGAGGAGAAACTTGGTTGAGGGTTTGGAGGTGGTTTGGGTAGCAAAAACGCCCTTTGGAGTGGGGCCACCTCCAGAATGGGCAGCGATGAACATGCATTTGTTACCACTTAGATGAGCTTGTCAGGGGTGAATTAGACCTTAATGCCGGAGCTAGATCGGGAATTTTTTGGCTAGGGGAAGGGCAAAGAAGTGGTTGTCCAAGTGGCGGAGAAGGAAGCTCCCGTAGGAAGCAGTGAGCATTTGATACAACTCACTATAGGGGAGTTGGATCAGATCATCGCGGAGGTTGTGATACCTTTACAACCTCATGTAAAGGTCCTATCAGCGTTGGAGGAGATCCAATCAAGAGATCTCACGAGAGATCTCAGACCAGGTCAATGTCAAAATTCTTTAGCTAAGAAGTCAGGTAGGTCGTATGACGAGTTATTGGAGCGTTGTACCAAATACATGAACATGGCAAAAATAGAGGTGAATTTCCTTCAGAATAATTGAGCTAAAGGTAGGAGGCAAGAGGAGAAATATATGCCTGATGATAGGAGGTTGAGGGAAGAAATGTTATTAATGATGATGAAAGGCGTATGAGATTTAAGTATGAGCATTATACACTTTTGGCGTTACCCAAAGACTAGGTGTAGGAGAAGAAGGAGGACAATGAGGCAGGAGATAAGAGGAGAAAGCCTGAGGAGCCATAAGTCAGGCCTCCCAAAAAAGAGAGGTGATCCATATGATTGTGGCGGACCAACTGATGGTGATTCTAACAATGTTAGGCGAGCTAATTATAGGGGTAGCTAGGAGAGTGTTGTGGAGGTTCAAATTGCCCATAATATTCCGGAATCAAAGTTTGGAGCTGAGGATTCACAAGAAATTTTGGTCCCTTATAATGATGTTTTGGTAGTAACAACATAAATCGTAGGTTATGATGTTCATATGATCCTTATTGATACAGGAAGCTTGACAAACATCATGTCCTATGAGTGTTGCCTCTTTATTCGGTTTCAGTGGAGCTGGAGTGGTGCCTTTGGGGGAGGTGCAAGTGCTAGAAGCTTTGGGAGCTCCTCCTCTAAGGAAGATTAAGATGGTGCGTTTCTTGATAGTAAAGGCGGAGTCAACATACAATGTCATTCTAGGTCGGCCAAGCTTAAACTCTTTCTAGGCTGCGGTGTCGATGTATTGTATGAAGATGAAGTTCCCGATGGGTGATTGGTTGGGAAAAAGTGTGCATTTTATATGTTTATTAGCGTATTTTTATATGTTTTATTTTATCGCACTTTTATGTTTTCCGACTTTATTCATTTCTTTGGATGGATTATTGTACTTTGATATTTTTATGGTTAATTTTTAGGATATTGGAGTGTTTTCATGGGTGACGTGGCATTGAACGAAATTACACCCGGAACAGTACGGGAGTGCCCCATATTCTGCTACCAGCAAAGCTGGAAACCCTATACTATGTTGACAAAACAGGCCCAATATTCGGATTGGTTGATAAGAGCCCAATTATTGAAGTGTCTTACAAGGCTGGAAATTACTAAGGCCAAATAATGAATGAATGGGTTATTTAAGCCCAATTTTGGAAAATTAACTAATTGGTGAATTGAGGAGAATTTAATCACGCAGCCATATGCCAATTGAAGGATATTCATTATCTATTTAGTAAAAGAAAGGGAGCAGCCCTTGAATATACGCCGCATTCACGCAAAAAAAGCCGCCACGCAGAATAGAGGAAAAGAAGCGGACGCAGACAAAGAACAGAAAAGCCGCCACGCACAGAACAGACAAAGGAAGAGCCGCACGGGAAAAGAACAGACGAGAGGAATCCAACGGAAGCGGAGGGAGGCCGCACCCACATACGAAAGGGGATATTCTTATTCTCTTTCTTTTTATTATTTATTATGTTAGAGTAGATTTTTATTTCTAGTTCCGGGAAAGTCGAACCCTATGATTGACGATGTTTAATTAATTTTTATGGTTGATGATTTTAATATCTTTTTAGAATTGCTTGTGTTATTTTGAATAATTCATCATGATGTGTTAGTCTTGTTTAGATTGATCACCTAGATTAGGCTTTTCATATATATATCTGAATTAGACCTTCAATCCGTAATTGTTGTTGTGTTTAATTCATAAGAGGTAACCGGAAGATGGTAACTACCGGGGATAACACGACCTATTTAAGTGGACGAACGCGGTTGAGTTCACTACTTAGTCTAGCCTATTTTTCTAATTCGTAAAGCGGCTAATTGTATTAAATCTTGAAAACGTTTTTCTGGACTGTACAAGAAGTCAGGTTTAATCGTAGAGCGTCTCGCGGTTAAATTAAAAATAAGAAAAAATTCAGGTAACAGACCGTGTCATTGCCTAAGGCTAGTAATTGCATAAGATAGCGAGATTTGATACCAAAGTTGATTAGACGAGTCGGTCGAGGGTGTAGACAGAACCGTGAACTAGAAAGTTCTCTTCATTTATTATTTTTATTTTATTTTCATTGTTTAGATTTTATTTGCTTCATTAGGATTTTAGTTAGTTTAGTTATTAATTCAAAATCCCCCCCTCTTTTATTGCTTTTATAATATAATACGAGAAAATTCACGATTTGATTCACACTCCCTGTGGGATCGACCCTTGCTCACTACTACTACTAGTTGGTAGAAGTCGGTTAAGAAAAATATAAATTATAATTTTGCCGCGTTGCGACGCGTGGTCAATGGGGGACCTTATGGGTGAGGTCACCGGTGATCAACGAGCTGCTAGGACATGCTATCATACAGTCCTAAAGGCGGGATTGAAGGGATAGAAACGCAAGAATGAGGGGAAGAGCTCAAGTGAAAGAAAGGAAGCTCAGATAGAGATGACCCCTCATGATGTGCTCATGGAAATCGAGCTAGTGAAGAGAGAATCAGATAAGGTCACAAAGGTGGGGAGAGCATTGGCAGGGGATGTATAGGCCGACTTGATAAGCTTATTAAAGGAGTATGTTGATGTCTTTGTGTTCTCATTAGAGGAGCTAGTGGGGATCGATCCTAGGATTGTCGAGCACAAGTTGAATGTGGATACCAATATAAAACATGTTAAGCAAAAGAGAAGACATTTTGGAGCTGAGCTAGATGTTATAATTATAAGGAGGTTGAGAAGCTGCTGCAAGCCAGTCACATCAGACCTATCCAGTTTCCTAAATGGC